GTGATTTTGCTCGTTTTTTTTATATTTCCGAGTCTCGATTTACTCGAAGCTGTAGATGAGCTACAGCTTATCCTTTTCTGTTTGCGGTATGATTTCCTGTCAAAGAATCATTCAAAAGATGATTTCAGTCGGATAATGTGTTCATACTTTTCCTATTTGCCGTTCACACTATCTGCTCAAGTGGAACGAAAATCGACCAGGCCCTTACTGAACTGCAGGTTAGTATTACACACACATTTCGTGATAATTGTGCCTCCTGGCTGACGCTCCCATTCTCTGGTTCATTCTCAAGGGGCGCAGGTTGACAAGAAAGGCACAGTGATCATGGGCCCCGCCTACCAAAATGTCGCAGAAAGTGTCTCTGAAAGTGCGCTACTCTGCTTTGCAATGGGGTTTTATCATAGCGAGAGGCAGGCTAGCTGGACATGGTTCGCGTCTAACTGGAGCTTAGTTTTACTGCGCAAAGCTTTTCCTCCCACCGTATGGTCTTCAAAATTAAGTCCTCGTTTATAAGGAGAGAAATGATGAAGTCTTTTCCTGCTTGTTTTATTCAGTGAAGAATAGTGCGTTTGGAGTTAATCGGCACCGTCCGAGAATCCCGTATAACAGAGGGTGACGTTCGGAAGCCTTGGCCATGAACTGCCACCCAAGTCAGTCTTGTCAGACTCTCGTCTAGAGGCGTCCGCACTAGAGGTGCCGGTAGACGTTAGCGCCTGTACTTCAGACTAGTAATGCCTGAACTCAAGTCGGCTAGTATTACTCGCACTGATAGGCAATCTCATGTTCGGTGCCCGGGGTACTGAAGCCAAGGAGTGAAGCTACACGTACGAATTGTTGGGATGTATTACCTACTTCGAGAAACGAGTTTAGTAGAAGTCTGGAACTTATTCAGTAAAGTTGGCAATGAGTGGTAAAGGTTCCTCAATAGAATCTACTCCATTCAATCTTTTCCGGAACATGCTACATGATACATTCTACCGTGAGCTTCGTTATCCGCTTTCATTTAGAGGGCTAATGATTGAAAGAGGTCATTCTTGAAGAATGCGCGCGTAGTTACGGGGCCTTAGATTTTTCATGGCTTGACAAAAAAACTGCCACTAGATTATTTGAAGCGTCATTGTAACTGAGTTCAAAAAACTGCCATGGTTATTTCAGCTATTGTAATAGAGTGCATTTAAGTTCTCAACATTGTTGGCAGACAGCTTTGGAACGTAGCAGAACATAAAACATGCTTTGTACGTGACGAATGCACAACTGCCTTCTATAGATGCGCGACGCGAATCGAAACGTTACTGGCACTTACTAAGTGAAGTTTTCTCGCTTCTTATTGTCTATTTTTTTCTCCGCCTCGCTTTTTCTCAAAAGATAGCAGAGGTGCGGTCATTACTTTACCGAAACAGTCGTCGAACGAGACGAACTTATTCACGGCATTAAACAATAACCGAATCGTGTCCATAATAGGTGACATTTGAGCGCACAGCTGCATTGAAGCTAGCCCTATAAGTAAAGTCTGTGTCCATAACTATCAATTCAGGTGTACATTTTGCAAAAACTGTACCGTGCAGTCTCAAATCTACGATTTGGTAGGATAGTTGAGCGGCGGGGGCGGCGAACAGGCCTAGCTAGACCTGCTCCTTTCCTACTATTCTACACCACCCCACGTCAAGGTGATGATGCAAAGACCATCGGGCAAAGAGTATATTCTGTAGAGGGAGTTGACAGCGAGACTAGGCCAAGAGATGCAAGACGAGCAGAAAAAGGTTGTGGTCTAGTCTAGTTGCCGACGGTCACACCCCACCAACTACCTTTGCGTGCAACCGTACCATGTCATGAACGTTTTTCAGAGAACTACTGGCACGAGCAAATAAGAAATCTCGACGTCCTGCTTATGTTCTAGACGAGCTGAGGGTGGCGATATCAATGGATGATGTTCGGGAAGCTACATCAAAAGTGAAAGAGTTGATGACGATGGATTGTGATGATCCGTATGCAGCGCTTGGTAAGATTTTGAATATGCAATATAATTTTGATCCATGCACCTGATGGATAGAAAGAGGGGAAACGATCAGTCCAGAGTAGTTGCAAAATAGTTTAAGGCTTGAGCACGAACCATTTTCCTCTAAAGCTTCCAACATATCGAAACAGTTGAAAGTAAAGGGAAGGAAAAGTGGGAACCACATCCCATTCCCCGTTGGTCGTATGGGCGGAGCCGAGTCTGCCATTTGGGGGGACGGTCAGGAGTTACACGTTTAAATATGTTTACATGTTTGAACATTTTCTTGGCATATGGAAGATGAAGAAAAGAAAAAACGCACTGAACAAACTACGATAACGCCATATGGGATGGAATTTGGCAAAATGCCAGGTCAGGACTCACCGCCGCGCCACGCGACCAGGTCGCCGCGCGCGGTGACCTAGTTTCAAGCGCGGCGGTGAGTCCTGTCACACACGCGTCATTGTGTCCTCTTCACTGTCAGGAAAAGGAAACAAGTGAACGGGACGGGATCATTCTATACGACCGTGGAGTGTTCTATTAGGCATCATCAGGAGCCGTACCCTTGCTGGAATAGAGAACTTTGTTGAAAAACTTTCAAGGCTTGTTGAACTTTGAGCAGTTTGCAATTAGATAACTGAAAAAAATCAGGATAACGTCAAGAGCGTGAGAGAAGCATTGAACTCGAAAGCTCTGCAGAAAAAAAATTTTAAATGGTTTTTTGAAGGAGTGACGCTTTCGAATCTGATGAACGGCAAGGTGGACGACGCAGCAGCCCAGGTGGCTTTTATGAAAGAAGCAAACCCGAATA